CCCTAGAAAGAAGGGGTTTATGAACGCCTCATTGGATTGACAAAAATGGCGCTCAGAAAAGCTATCGGTAAACAGCGTCTTAATGAAACTGACTTTGTCACACTTCTCCACGAAGTCGAGGCTGTTATCAGTGAACGACCTATCACATACGTAGACAGTGACTTTCTTGGATCCTGAAGTGAGTCTCAGTTGCGACTTAGGAGCCACAGATGCATTTAAAGAGAAACAAGCTCTACAACCTACCTCTAAAGGAATCTTAATTCCACAATGGAAAGAGTCCCAGCAATGCTTAAACTCCTTCTGGAGCTTGTAGTCACAATCCTATTTACAGTTCCTCAGAGAGCATACTCAAAGAATGCATCGAGGCCCACACGGAGAAGTAAGGCGAAACCCTCAAATAAGTGGAATCGTCATACTTCACAAAGAACACAAACCAAAAGGCCTATGGAAACTGGCTCGCGTGAAAGGGCTTAACCAATCGTCAGATGGCAAAATAAGAAGCGCTAAAATAGTTTTGGCTAATCAGAAAACACTTACTCGACCACTCTATCATCTTCTCCCACTTGAGGTAACGGATGATAGTGGACGCGATTCAGTGCAACATCCTCGCGTCGCCGATCCAAACATCGAAGAATCAGACCAATCAGACGAAGAAGAGGAACCAAGCGTGAAACAAGCAGTCATTTATAATGCAACACGAAGTCCTCAAGGACATACATTTCCAAAATTTCTTTTGCTTTCAGTTACGATTTTTTGTCTCGTAATGGCCAATGTGGAATCTATAGTGTCGCAAGCACAATTTTGTCCCTATCTGCACAACGGAGTTAACGTGAGAATGTCACAGTTCCGCAACTGTAGTGTTGATCCAGGATCAAACTGGGAAGTAAGAACGGTCACGATATACCAAAGAAAACTCGTTTACGTCCCAGCTACTTACTGTTCTAAAATTACCCGCACAGCATGTACATAGGCATTCTTTCAAATCAGTCTACAAGTTACTAACGACAAAACTTTAGTATCTGGTATCCCATCTCAGGACTGCAGATTACTGGAAACTTCGCACTCGTTTCAAGGAATGGTTCTTCAACCACAAAGAGGTGGCCGCAAATGGCGGATGCAGAATCCTGTCTCATATTCCTACCACTTCATCGGAACGCACTGTTCAGAGACCATCAATTATCTAATGGAATACGGCGATATTGCATTTGTTGATGGCTCACACTCCATCACGGACTTTACTCGTACGGCAGGATGCAATGCTCAAGCTCAAAAATGTTTGACGCGTCACGAGACAGTGATATGGGACTGGAGAGCATACGAAAAACAATGTCAATACGCAAAACTTGGGACATATGCCGCCCACGTCAGTGAAAAGGAAATCATTATAGATCAATTGCAGGCGGCCTATATCGTCAAAAACCTACAACCACTGAAAGTAGCCCCATATTGCAATTTATCAGAGGCTATACTCATGGAGAATGACGTCATTATAGTTTTTGGGAAGCAATTTACTCCACAGGAAGTAGTATTCAAAGACCAACCTCAAACATTCCTCACCGAAAAGATAATCGAAAATAGAGATCCGAAAAATACGAGATTTCAGTTCCTGTCAAACACGCTTATCGAAAATGAAGCAAAAACAAGTTGTGAAATATGGAACATGTTAAACCGCATAATTCGCCAAATTAGTGTCAAGGATGCCACTGCGGCTATGAGAATCCTACTCAAAAGGAACGATATCGCAGCGCGCCATGTAGACGACCAATTCTTAGTGACAGCTGGTTACCCAGTAGAACCAGAAAAGTCGTTCCTGAATCACCAGGTCGAAGAGAAGTGCTACGAGTATCTTTCAGTCCAAGTAAAAGGACAAGTCGTGTTCATCGCTCCTAATACACACAACGTTAAACTACATTCACGAGAAGTCAGCTGCCCCTGGAAACCTCCTCGCAACAACCACGAAATTACGGCAGGACTTGGACTGAACAAGTTTTCAACCGAACGCACGTTGTTTACAGGAAATAAACTTCCAGACATAGAGGACGAATGGATCAAACTAGCGATTGACCATGCAAAGAAACGAGCTAGATGAAACCGCAGAGCAGGTCTCAAACCCCTTTGAACAATGGGCGACCAGCACAGATGAGTTTTCAGAAGAAATTGGTGGCAAGGCAGAAGAAACGACAGAATTCGTAAAAGACACACTTTATTTACTGTCGATATCCAGGAGATGGATATGCAGTTTTGTTTTATTCGCATTATTTCTTCTTACAGTTCCAAGCATGTGGTGCAAATGTTTTGAAGAAAAGTTACCATCCTGCAGAAAAGAAAAGAGGAACGAACTCTTGGTTACATTCACAGTACCCAATGGGAAAAACGACAAGGAGACTCAACTTTGAATGCATTACATTCCAGTTCAGATTATATCAAAATCGAGTTTGTTGCAACCTTCGGCGTCGGAGTGTCGCGACAGCGAACTGCGAAATTAAGTGAAAAAATATCTCCTTTTCTTATCTTTGGGTCAACAGTTGCTTACGCTTAATGCCCAACATTGCCTATACAGGAAAGACCTGTCCTTATGCTATATGCTAATGTTAATGTATAATGCATTTCCTATAAATGCAACTGTTTTGCATATATCGACCGGCACCAAATTTCTGTATATCAGATGTAAGACGCCGACCGCTATTGTATCACTATTCCGCTTGTTTGAGTGCAGTTTAGTTTAATAAAATTGTTGGCTATCAACTGGTCGTGTTGACCTTTCACTAGTGGTCATTATCCTCCTATACTGCTCTCAAGGGAAACTATCCAAATTCTTTACTTACAAACCTTTCTTCTCTATAGTTAGTGTCCCACGCGAGGCTTATACTCATTTACTGCTGCTGAAAAAGAGAGGACAGGGATGACCACTAAGCAAATATATACTTCCAAAAGTCGCTTGTGAATGAAGATTTATAGCAAATTTTTTAGAAGCTTTGATACAGCGGAGTTTATGTGAATGCGCACATTCACGTCATGCCCCATAAAATTCTCCCATATAGAAGATGAATGAAGGTGAAGCCATAATTTGCTAAATTTTTAAATCTTTTCATGATATAAAACAAATGAGCCATTCTGCAAGGATCTGCGCAATACTTGTGACGAATGTTTCCTCACTTTCTGACTCCTAAAACAACAGTAGACTACATTCTTTCCACCTCTGACAGAGCATCCGCCATTTACAGTTACTAAGATCTGTTAATGATGAAGAATTTGATGAATAATTCAGTTGTTAGATAAGGAAAGCCACACAAACTGCCGTAAATGACATGTTTCTCGTGAACTGTTGCAATGTGCATCTAGAAGGAAAAGTCAACAATGTAGCATTTGCTGTGTTGCAGGTATTTTTAGTTGTTTGCGAACGCCTAAGCGTCCAGTTTAGAAGTTTATTCTTTTAACGAAAAAACTTCAAGAACCCTTTACAGTCCATTCCATAATTCGCTGCAGGCATCCTCAGAAGATGAATCAAAGTCTTAGAATTAAAAGCACGAGGCTTTTAATTATTATCTAAACTATAAGTGGAGAACTTGGAACTCCAAATTTTCTATATTTCTTTCCTAATGGTTTTCTAACATCTCGATAAACGTATGTCGCGAAACTGTCGCGAAGACACTCTGTAATAAGTTCTACACCAAGCAATCACTAGAACTTCGCAAAATCATTAGCATGCATTAGGCATTTCTAAGTTTTTTTAATCGTTTCTGATAAATGTGGAAGACAGCCATACGTCTTTTAAGCGGAACAAAAAAGCAGAAATTACCAGGAAAACGGGCCATCCGATAGTTTCTAGCGCCTGAACTGCTTTTTTGTCTTTGTCTCCCTCGGCTTTTACATAAGCATAACCAATATGTGCTGATAAGTCTACCGCAAAACCAATACTCATTATAACAGTTATCATGGAGACGCTTTCCAAACGGACACCCCAAAATGTCATGTAACCGATAACGCCTATAACAATTCTGTTAGTTGAAATTCGGCCATACGATTTATTCTTTTAAACCATCCAGTAAGGGTTAAAAAAAATTTTCACCTATGTCAATGCTGCATATAGCTCCGGCAATTGCAAATGCAGCTCCAAAATTAGGGATCATAACGAAAGAAACAAAAAGCATGGCCGTAAGAGCGAGGAAACAGTTACGTATTAATGCTGGCTTTAACTCAATGTACTGCAATTATAAAAAATTTCCACCGGTAAAGTTAACTTTTGAGATAAGCGTCGTCAGTATAAATGAACAAGTTTGAAATAAATAAGCCAGTGGGTGTTCTGGGAAATCTTACTTGATCTGCAAATGGATAATATTCATGAAAAGTTGTTATGTTAAATTCAGGAAACTGGGCAGCAATTGAGCGCATTAACTGTGCGCTGCGCATATGATCTGTTGGAGTATTGTAATTGCGAAGTCCAAGTTGAAATCTGAACGCATATAGATGATTGTACGTCTGAAAAGTTCTTATTAGTTTCAACCAAAAAACGAAAAAAATCTCTTCATGTTTATCAAAACTAAATTTATGGAAAAAAATTTGGCCATAATTTCAATCGCATCTTGAAACTTTATTATCTTTGCTAGGTCTACCTTCCGGTCCGTTAAATTGGTACCCCAAACCATATCTTTCTCCCAAAGTCTTCGGCCACCCGCACTTATCAACCATTCTCGACATCGTTCATACCATTCTTCTGTTCTAAGCACAGAAAAATTATTCATCCCAAAATTATGAAAAATCCTTGATTAAGCATGCAGTATTTGTGATGTCCGTTTTTTTAAAATTTTTCTGCACATTTCATAAGAAATCCCTTAGTTTCACTTAGCACTGCAAAATGTATTTATAATATAAATTTTTTTTTGTTAACTTGAAGCTTTTTTCTTTGGTTTCTGCTAAATCTTATGAACATCCGTTTACAGCTGATAGAACAGTGGAGAGAATGAATTAAAAAATCTGAATCTATAATATTGCAAGAAGACTCGCAGTTGCGCAGAGAAAAACCTATGTCTGTATTCCCCAACAAGTGTTTTTAAAGTGTTTGAATTTGTACTTTTGGTATTTATCATTAAAAAATAGCATGAAATTTCGCCTGAAAAAAAGCTTTACAAAAAGTAATCAGTTTGATTTTCGTTGATCTGATACATGCTCAAACAGTGATGTTACGCTCACGAGTTTGGCATAGGAATTCTGAATACTTCTTCGTCCTCCGCCAGTTTCCTCTCAAATGACGTTAACCAAAACATAGTTGCGTTGTGCTTCATGGTATAATGTGTATTTTCAAAGGCATCCATCACTAGTTGGAATCTGCGGCGTTCTATTGTATTAAAAAAATTTGGCGGTGAATTCACAACCACCTGCATTTGAAGGCCTGAAAACAAAAAATCTGCTGAATATTCAATAACTTTTTGATATGATGCATAACTCTCAAACATACTAGACAAGAGGTAGCAGCTTATTTGATGACACACTATATTAATGCATACCTTCAGCCCAAAATGTCTCGTCCATTAAGACGTAAAACTTATTTAGGTAAAACGATTCCTTGACCAAAAATTTTGGATTCAATCCCTCTTCTACCATCGTACATCCAAGAATTGCAAATGATAAATAAATTAAATATATAAAGAAAACTGCTTTTTTAGTCGATAAGGCAAGCAAGAATGGGCCATAATATTCACGAAAAATTTTAGAGATGAACGTCTTTCGGTTATGGTGCGAATCAAAACCCTGCAGTTGGTGCTTGTTATTCTAACACGTTAATTGCAGGACAATTTGCTCTGGCAGCATTAAATTGGAGTATCATACTTTTTTTTCAGAAAAAAGAAGGAAATGCTATTGGTTGTAGTTATTCAAAAGAACAACTCCTTACTATGTTTTCTGTGTCCACTCTTGTTTCAATAAACGCAACTGCTCTCCGAATCCTGTCCAGAAACGAGGTGCAACTCTTGCCGTCCCCTTTTTCACTAGAAAAGTGCCGCGTAGTTGTTGATAAGACCGTAATCACTTCTTCTTTTTCAGCTGTGCCTATCTTTGGGCTTTTTTCTGTTCTACTGGTTCTGATCGACCCGCACATCAACAACTTCTTTTTCAGCGTATCTATGTAAAACTACATAGTTACTAGAAATTTTTAAAAATGAAACCATTTTTAGTACAACATCAACAGTTCTTCTATCCATAGGTTCCAAGATTATAACTCTGGACTTCGACAATATTAAAATTCAACTTTTTTACTCCAAAATAGAACACTACAAATAAAATTCCTCTCAAAAGTTTTTTATCACTGTAGAAGTGAAAGACTAATTTTTAGCTTTTGTGTACCTGCTTTTTCGATGGAGATTGCTGGCTTGAAAGTTAGTACATGCAAATTCTGGTATTCCCATTCGCCGGCATACGCCATTACAGAAGTAAAAAAAGTCAGTTGATAAATGTAAGTAAAAGTTACACCCATAAACGTGTACAAACAAAACATTTGAACACTTGGTAACGTTGTAAGGCAACCAATACCAAAACTTATCTGCAATCAGGGCTATGGTCAGTTAATAATTTCTCTACGAAGCATTAATCATATATTATTTTTAAGTGCAGATATTAGAAAACAAAAAGTTAATAAGAAGGTTTTTAGAGACGCTGAACAAGTTAAAAATGATTGAACATTTGATTTGTCCCATTTTTTCCGTAAGAAAATAAATTTTTTTCTTTTTTTTTTGTAGATTGGTAACATATTTTGAGTAAAACTATGATTAATGGCAGTTTTGGCCTGAAGAAAATGTGCCCAGAAATTGTGTAAATTTTGATTTACAGTCATAGGTCACTGTAAAATTTTAAACTGCTTGTTTGAACTAGTATTTCAGTAGGATTTTATGGAAACTCTTTCTGGTAATTTTATGTGTCAACAGAAGTTCAGCTAAATTGCAAATGAATAAGCAAAATCAATAAATTGAAATATCACCAGTTGTTCTACATTAACAAGATGCCTTCAAATGTTCTGACAAAAAAAAAGCATAACTGAGCAAAAAAAAAGGTTTGAGATGCTTCTTTGAGCGTCACATAGAGTAGCCCCTATTAAAAGTTTATTAGTTATTATGTTCAATCTCTGCCGTTCAAAAAAGCGTTTAATCATTGAAGCTATTTGAAATATTCAGAAAGCAGTGATCCCTCGGGTCGCTTTAGAAGACTTGAAATAGAATATTAGGATACAACTTATGCTCTCAAAAATCAAAGTAAAATCATCCTCATTCGCCTATTAATAACTGTTCATAGTTCAACCCTAATTATTTAAGTTATTTTGTTTCAAATTTGCACTAACCATATCGGTAAATGAAGTTATAGATATTGCTACTGCAGCATCAGCCAATGTTTCTGCAAGTCGTCTCTTAGATGTCAGCTCAGAATTCGTCCGATGCCAAGCAGCACTCATGATGAACATATCATCGACACCAATACCCAAAAATAAACTTAAATAATTTTATTTTAAATAGTAGATTTGTTCATTCTTATTTTTGTATTACAACTTACTTACACTTTAGTAACCTTCATTAGATTCCTTTGAAATTCTTAAAATATTTAGAGTAGAGTTTAGCACACACATTCGCGTCTTTTAGCGACAAATATAAACCTAATTACAAAATGCTAGCGAAACAAACTTTGTAATTCACTCACAAAACACGATAAATGGTGAAACGTTGACAATTGCGTTGTACAAACAACCCAGCCATAAAACCAGTCCAAAACCGCTGAGAATCGACAGTAACGGACACATCAAACCTAAGAGTCAGAAATTTAAATAATAATTCCTTTGTCCTGATTAAGTAGAAGATAATTTGGAAACAGTAGTCAGACGAGGTCCGCTTAAATAACAGTTTGTTCCAGAAGCGAAAAACATTGCACAAAGTATTAACCAGCTAAAGCTATAGATGGTTTACTGCGAACCCAGTCAATCACAAAAAAGCCGTTAATATTTATAACAACCACAGAACTGAGTCCACAAAATGTAAAAAGTATAGTGCATGTGACGACAAATTTTGGTGTCAAGGAATCCGCGACTTGCTGTAAACCTTCCGGTAAACTTTCATTGTGAAACATTCCGAATTCCAGAATCTCTAAATAACAACAGTTCCTTTGGTAAGGTAGCAGCAAATCAATAGCGCCAGTTATAAAAATGGCGCTTAAAAAACTTGGTATTGTCAGCTATATTAACCTGATGGTGGATTTGTTGTATCGCTCAAATAGTCAGCAACCTTCTTTCGCCATAAATAGCTGATGTTACCAACTTTTTCCTCCCGAACGTTGAACGTCAACCGGATAGCACGAGCATAATTAAAATGTCCCTCCTAAATAGGTCTGTTATATAACTGGAAAATTTGTCAAGTGGCACATTTTAAAGTTTTTTGTCGAAGTTCAAACTACGTTTAGAAATAACGCTAGATAAGATTTACTTCATCTGTCAAGTGCGGAGCTCCAACCAAGGCACCAAAGTAAATTGGTTCTGTCCCTCGATATCCAATTGGATAGGTTATTTTCACCTCAAAGAATGCTTTAATTAGAAATGCCACACATGCCAAACGTCGTAGTCAAGCAATAAAGACTTGCTTTACAAAAGAAAATTGATCATAATTTTAGAACCTTCATCACTTTAAAACCTTTTTGAGTGACATTCACAATATCAGTGTTCAGTTTAGTTTTAAATGTTCAATTTATAATAATTAAATACTTAACTGTTATACTGTTAATTAGCAGCAAAAACCAACTTTAGCCATTACATAAAAGCAAAAGCTTTTTTTACCTCTGACTGAGTAGAAAACTAATTATTTCATAAATCTTCTTAAGAAAGAACGTCGTCAACGACATAGACGGTTGCAAATTTAAAACTCCTTAATGTTTTATATAATGTTTTGAAAAAAACGATAAATTGCCTTTGCTTGCTCGCTTTTAAATTTTGCGTTTTGTAATTTATAGATACCAATTTAAAAGTGCCGTAGAAGGCGTTTGAAAAAATATGCAAAAGCAGCCAATTTTTCATTTTGCCAGACTTACCCTAAAATGTCTCATCAGAATTAAATAATTCATACAAACTTACTTCAGTATTGATAATTTCATTGGCATATTCAGCAATTTTTTCACTAAAATTACCCCAACGATGTTTTGGCATTAGCATTGTTAAATGATCATTCATGTAACACTTCCAGTCATATGACATACACAGATCTGTGAATCCAACGTGATAAACCTTGCCGTTATGTGCCACAGGAATTGTCACATTGTGGATTATATACTGAATAATCATAAGGTAAAGGTCAGGAACGGCTAAACTGTTTCAGTTCAGTCAGTATATTTTTTCAAACAGATGGAACTTTTTTACAATGAGTACTCAGTGAAAATAGGACAAAGAATGTAAGCATTGGCTGCTCTGTCATCCACAACAGATAACCTCATTTATTCGTTCCAATTCGTAAAGGTAACGAGTGTGAAGCATATTCGGTCTACCAAGTCCACTCTTTGTTTTACCCGCAGCAATTATGTCCACATAGCCATCATAATCATAACTTTTTCCTGGCCAAAACTCTTGCTCGTTCAATGGCCAGTGCTCACTGAGAACAGCACTTTCAAATTGCCATGGAGCTTTGGTCGGTGAAAAGACATATTTTGGGTCGATTGTAGTCTGCAGCTTTTAAAATGTTTTTTCAACAATAACTTATTTGCTTTTGAAAGTAATACACTGTATAAATTAGACTTTAAAATTAAAAATTCAAATTTTATAATATTACTCAAATTTCTAGCGAGAAAAATATCTAACAAAACTTATTTTTTCGTTGTAAAAGCAAATAACCGTTTAAGAGATGATTTGTCTCTTCAGAAAAGTGAAAAACATTTATATGCAGCGCAAAAACTAAACCTCAATTTCTCTAACGTCTTGCAATGCGGAAATTACTTGTAACAAAATGTTTGTTTGAGATCAGTTTTAATGGTACAAAAATAACAAGTTCTTTTAGGTATAGCAGTAGATAAGTCGAAGCTTAACAATAAACCTGTTGTTTAATGAAGACAAAGCCAACGGTCAAGAAAACTGTTGTGAAAATGGGAACGACAAAAAAAATAAATCTGTAACGATTCACCAACAGTGCCCAATGATAGAAAGCGTTGTGGATGAGCACATCAAACGACGCAGTCATTACTGAAATAATGAACAGGATAGACGACGGATAACAAGCCAGAAATGGAAACAAATATGAGATTTTAACTCACTCGAAAAAAAAAAATGTTTATTTGATGAGTGCAATTCGCATAACTTTTTATACCTTTAACTAATACAGGTCAAATAACCACCTAAAAAACTAATCAATTTTTAAAACTTTAAAAAGCAGCTATATCAAAATGATCAACAGGTTTACTCCAACAATAACTTCAAAAAGAACTCTTAGTCTTCCGGAAACCCACGAAGATAACAGTTATAAAACTGTCGCTTAATTTTTTTTAGCGGCTACTTTCTATGTAATTCAAGGACTATGTAAGACGTTAGAAATAGGAAGATATCCGAGTTAAAATTAAATGATTAAGGCTGAAACAGCTTTCAGTAGTTGTAGACTGACTGAATACTTGAACTTTAATGTCGATCTTCAAATAAAAAAAAGAAATGGTTAAATAATACAAAAAAAAAAATAAACAAATAAAAAATAACTTAATACATCTAGAAGAACTGCTGCCGTTCATTTAATAATTATATTTGAAAATTTTTCAAAATTTTGCTAAGGCATAAAAAGCAGCATTACTGTCCTTTTTTGAACATTCATAAAGCAGAAACCCAGTAATATCAAACATCAATTCATCACAACCTTTCTTCGGCCTGATATTAACCACTGCTTTGACGGTCAAAAGCCGTTACAGTGTCATCCGACAGCAAAAAATTGCAAAAAGTTATGTAAGTTAAAAAACTACAATATCAAGAAAACAAAAATACTTTAAAAAACTTTCCTGGTCTAGAATTCCTCTAATCAAATAAGCATCTTATTACACATCTACAACTTCAAAACTTTATGAATTGAAATTTCAAGAGAAAAATCCATCAATGTCTTTTTTTTCTTTCCCAGAACAGTAAGTAAAGAATAGAAGGTGAAATAAAATATAGAAAGTTTTTTTTTATAAAATTTGATACTGTATTTATTAAGAAGTTTCAAGTTTCTAAAAAGAAGACAACAGTAAGGGCAAAAATCAGTACCACCAGCGGCTCAGCATCTGACTTTACAAAAAACGGTAGTTTGAAGAACTGCTTATTAGAATCCTCCGCAGGTAACACCAAAAAGTTGTATCAATAACAGCAAAAAAAAAAAAAAAAAAAAAAAAAAAAAAA